GACTGTTCAGCCACTCCGACTCCCCACCGGGGACATCTGTAAATGGGACCCCCCTGCCCTCAACTTCTACTGGCGCGCCATATGCTACACTTTACACACCAATGCCCGCAAACACCGCATACAACCTCGCTGGGCGGCCCACTGCCGCACGTGCCCCGATCTCCCTGACACGCAGGAACACCGATTCGGCCTCACAACTCCTACCTGCCCCAAGGCAGTCGCACTAACCCAACACATACTTCTCGCTACACAAGCGGTCCTTCCACAAGGCTGGCTACCCGACCAAGACATATACATTCCTGGCCATGGCACCACCATAGCAACACTCTGGCCCGGACCAAAACGCCCACAATGGAAAACCCGCGGCGGTCACCCATCACCCAACACGGGTATGTGCATGATCCCCCTTACCGCGCACCGCTGTGTACATGCGCTACACATGCACCGCCTCCTTGGACCCCCCCGACCCGAATCCCACATGCTAGCCACCTCTCAGCTCTCCTGGGAAGCGAACCAGTGCCCAAAGCCGGGACCCCTCCTACCGCGCTGGCTGTACCACACCGCCCTCCGCTCCACCCCCCTGCTTGCCCCACGCGACTTCTGGTTCGGACAGTGGATGGGCGGCCCCAATGGTGCTACTTTTCAGGGCCCACTTGGCCTCTCCCCCCACTGCATAATCCCCCGCCCCCCAACAAACCATCACTGGTGGATTGATGCCACGCACAACCCATACACCCCCACTTGGTGGCGCCTCCTAAACACGGCAATACAATCCGCTATCTCCCACCAAACACCGGCCACCTACTGGCTTGTAGTACACGATGGCTCCTGCGGCCATAAAATGGCTGACCAGCTCCACACAACATGGCTCCTCACCATTCCCCCGGGCCAGATCAAACTCCGTCACGTCTCCTCCGTATACCACACTCCTACCCCAACCTGGGGCAAACTCGCTTCCGGCAATCTCACAGCAATCCACATTGGTTTCATTACCACTGGCAACACAGTAGCTCTACTCGCCTCTGCCCAGCAGCAATGGACATCAGCACTCACGTTAATCGATGCTCTCCATTGGCTCCGACGACCTCCCCCGACCACTCAACTCCGCCCAGAAGAAACCACCACGACAGCCATCCCACGACTACTTAGTGCCCCCACACACTGCCTCCACTGGGTCCAATCCTCCATTCCCACATACGACCAATACGCCCTTGACACGCGCGCATTCCTCACGACACAGTTTCCGGCCATTTACCAAGCTACCTCCGGCTGGAAAACCTTCCCTACCATGACACACACCACACGAGCATGGGCAGCCGCCCTCACCCACCTCCACTCTCCTCGTTTCCATACTAACTGGTTCAAGGCGCACTGGGCCGCCCTTCGCCTCCACTGGCAATCCACATGCACAACTAATGTGGACCACATACGCACCGCAGGGGAACTACCCCTCCTCACCGAGGTCAATAACAACATCCGGCTCAAACGCCGCCACCATGATGCCGCCCCCATGGGCCATGATCGACGCATCCGTGCACGCAGGGCTCACCTTGCAGCCAAGACACTACAATGGCACACTCGAAGGATCTCCTCACTCCCCCCCGGCCTCCCCCCTCACGTAGGCTACGCCGACCCTCCACTTCGGCCACCACGCCAGCCTCCGGACCCAAGGATACCTCCACCAGTGGCCTAAGTCCCCTTACCCCCTGGAACCATAACTAGGTTTGCAAGTAGTTAAGTCCGCTAGCTGCCAAAGCAGCTAGTACGCGGCCGAGGCCATTAAGTGCCCGCTGAGCGATTTTAACTTTACAGCGTAATATCAATATCAATATCAATATTCTAGATTTACATTGATAACTCACTGGTGCACGAGTTTGCCACCATAGAATATGTAAGTTTGTGAGCTCGTAATTACTTCCCATCGTCTCAATCGACTCTGTGATGCGTGTTTTGTGATACTAGTACCTGTGAGGTCGCTCGCAACAATATAAGTGATCTTAGTAGTTGTAGTATTGAAAATATGATTATTTAGTGTTGTGATGGAGGAAGGGGGCATACATGGAAGGGAGGTCGCAGTTAGTGTTATAAGCATCCCCACTGTGCAGATGATATACGTATAGCAGTGGGGATGCTTGTAAACACTGTGTGCTAACAAGTACGGTGGTTCACGTTGCGAAAGTAAGTGGATATGCAGAGCTGGAGAACGTGGTTAGTGTCGTTTGTTAAATGAGGGGCAATTGGAATCACTACTGGAGGTAAGGTGGTGTTGGCGTAGCTACAGTAATGTTCAATCAGGACTTACCTGAAGCGCAATCATTACTCTTAGCCGCATTCGTACGTTTTAAAAGTCGCAAACGTTATTAGGGAGATTTCGGAGATGAGTATTTATCTTTATCCTTAAAATAACCTCTGAAGCTTTATAGGGCTGAGGAAAACTCCGGAACTTAGTACCAGAATCCCTGAAATGGGTCCATTTTGAGGATTCGAATCCTCGAGCATGATTGGCCAGATCTGTTGACTTGGTTCAACGCTTTTTTGTCTTTGGCACTTCGAATGGAGCGTGGACGGTGGAAGCGTGGAGGATGACCCACATGAAGTGGAGGTCAATCAGAGGCGCGGTGGGAGCAAACAAGTTAATGATAACTTCAATCTTTATGCATAGAATCATCACATGTATACACTTGTAGGAACTACGAAAAGCAAATAGGCGGCGCCTGACGCCGCAGCTTAATCGGCCGCGCCTAGCAGTAGATCCGGCCGGTGTTGTACCAGTGGCTATCAACGATATCTTAAAAGCACCAGATAAGTACTAGTATAGAAGCACGCCTCTGCAGCTGGCGCTTTGGTGCCAGTTGCCGAGGCGTGCTACTTTAGATGCAAGCCACTCCTTGCCTTCGTAGCTACGCCTGTCCGAACGTCCTACAGATAGTAGAACAACTGAACTAACACAATATGAGTTTCAATCAATTTCGTATGTCTCTGTCGTCCCTACTAGCCCCAACGCTTCAACGGCGAATGACCCATGGGACGACTTCACAATGTCCTCGCGGATCATCCACGAAGTCCACGAATTTGGCTCCATCTAGTCTACGGATAAGGAAAAATTGTTATCACCGAAATCGTCGATATAAAATCCCTTGCTTTTACTTTGCTTTCAAATTTTACGGAAAAAGAAAAAGAGAAGTCATCTCCGAAATCTCCCTATTGTGTGGAATGGGCTACAAAAGGGATCCTACCATTGGTCCCCATGCATCATGGTGGGGCGCCGGCTGAATGCCACCGGCTACAACAGTACTCCTGCTGGTTTGTGCCGTTTTACTTATGCTGATCGACACCGTTTCGTGTGCAATGTCGCCTCGGCAGTATTTCAACCAATAGAAAGCCGTACATGTTAAATGTTAGTGATATGTTGCTGCTGCGACAACCGCCTCGTCCAATCAGATTGTCGCAAAAAATACTGACCAATCCGAATTCAATCATTTGTCGGTCATCCAATCACGGGGCCGAATTTTGTCGGTTTTGTGTCGTGTCTGTACTATATGTTAATATTGATCACATCTAGCACACCGAATGGGCCCTGGTCAGTGTCACCACGCGTCCGTTCAGGTCTTGGATTTCACGAGCGTTGGGGAGGTGAATGACGTTGGACCACTGCTTCAATTGCGCCTTGGACAGCGTATGCACCTTTTGCAACACATTCCAC